ATCCGTCCTAAATTTGAGTACTACATATAGACCGCCGACCCCCGCCTCAAAAAGTGAGCCGTTGGAGGAAATTTGAAGTGCCCAAAAACAAGTGGATTCGCGGAATTAAAGGGATGTAGAATGAGGAGAGGATATTCAGATTCAACCTATTTGTTTCATCATAAAGAAGGACCAGAGGTGACTTTATCACAGGCCACAAATTATAGAAGTAATAATTTTGCATCTGAATCACCTCCTATTTTCTTACCCTCCAAAATCAATAAGTGGCAAGGACATGCTAAAAATGTTAGCAAGCCCAGAACAAATAACTTGTCAGCTGACTACGAACTTTCCCATCAAATTGTCGCCAAAAACAACTCGTTACGGTAAAACGTGAATGAAGCTTCATTTATCCAACATTCGTGGGAAAGCTGGACTAGCACAAGTTAACATGACACCTGTGCTTCCCTAAAGCAAAAACTGAATAACTTACGTCTAGATCTCAGTTTAACCCGCGGAATTCCAATGTTGCGGCAGTTACGCATCGAATATCCAATATCTTTTCAACGAGCTAACGTAAACCAATTGATTTCTTTCGCTCAATTCTTATTCTTTCTTTAAGGTTCCGCTTATCAGATAATGTCCAGTGGATATTGTTCTAGCCACTTAGTACACTAATTCTAGTCATTTGGCAGTTGTTTATGAGTTTGATGCTAATGAGATTTCAGAACTAAGTAAATAAATGGATAATTAAGTCGATAATTTGGAAGTGAACTCACGTCTATGCCCAAGATTTCCTTTCAATAATATAATAATTTTAAATACTTGGTGAATCTCGCCATCCATGCACCAACTCCCAGCTATATGTACAAACTAGGGCAATAAACGAACTTCGGTCTCAATATAGACCCTCTTATTGTAACTTACACCATGTATACCGAAGCATTCAATTCTAGATTATTGCCATAGACAAGTAGTTCATCTTCCCCCTTTGGCAAGCTAAAGTCCAGTCCCTTTAAAAATTTCGGACCATTCGACAATCTATCGACAAGTCCACCTACATTGGTAATGCCTCTAGATGCCATTTCATATGAATTGTTTTTGATTCTTATGAGTGGTCTCCAGTATGTAAGCTACTCTATTACAAATGAAACAAGCATAACGAGTGGACTCGTTATCCGTAAGCAGTAAATTACCGTCACAGAGTCTGTCCAAAATATTGTCCACACTATCGGGCATTCAGATTCCTTGCCAGTTGTACTACATAGAAAATTCTAGGCATCATAAGGTGACAGTTTTTAAAGATGGCTCCCGGACCTATTCCAGTCACATTATTACATTTATTTGGTCAATATCGGTTAAAGGAACTTACATAGCTACTCCGTATCCCATTTCTGAAATAACATATAATACATGTAACTGTGGTTGTTGGTTGCTTCCATTTAAGAATGTGTGCGATAGATTGACAAAATGAACTGAACAGCGCGTAGCCAACGCATTACCAACTTCCTGACCCTAACTGAGCTGTTATTACAAATCTCCTGAACTGTCATCTCAGCACAAAGAGCGGTCGGGGACAACAGTTCATCTCTCTCCAAGTCTTCTCCAAAGCCCAACATATTATTTATTTCATTCCAAGAGTACGCTCTTTATGTGATGGTGCCATATACAAATCAAGCATTTTCAATATTTGGTATTGTAGCTCTAACTCTTTCAGTGCTCCCTTATGATTAGAAACGAACTGTTGAGTTAACTCCCTTTTTATAATACATTTTGAATATATATATTTTTTTCAAGACATTATGCCACCTTCATACTATCAAACGATGTCAAGCAGTCATTGACGTTAAAGTACTTGTCTACTGTCTTCGCTAATTCTGATTCATCCAATCCAAACGTAGTTTTAGCTTGGCATGACGCAAAGCTGTCATAGAAAGGTGACCACGAAGCATAGCAAGTTATGGGACAAAGATCCAGGGGTAGAAAAGAATTATTTTTGAACGGCTGCGTAGGTTGTTATCGAGCGAAGTCCAATCATCATCTACTGATAGCAATAATCGCATATAGAAAACATGTATAAGCACTGCATAAGATAGTCAAGTTCATTGCGAGGTGAAAGTTGGGTTGTTATTGTGGAGCAAAAGAAGTGTATGTCGAAGAAAGTAGATGGCAAGTTCCTACGTTTGTGAATCAAACTTAAACCTTATTTTTAGAATACATGTGTTAGAATATTCTAGTTCCATAGAATGATGAGATCAGCTATCCTTTTTGATAAGGCATTCAGTAAACAGGAATAAGAATCACAAATATGGCTACATCTGAGTAGCTGATGAGATTTTAGTGAGCGAGTCCGGAAACCAGCTTGACTATGCCCACCACTAAATGTTCCATACGGTCGCGTGACAAAAAGGAGAACAAAATAAATCCATAGTTCAGTGGTTTATTGAAGGAGAACGTTGGCATTACATAGGGAGCAGCAAATGGAGAAACATGGCGGCAACGCGAAGAGAACGTTGCGCGCAAGAAGTAGTAGAAGTGTTTTTGGTACAGTTAAACATAGCGAGTACAATAATGTTCACATTTCAAAAATCGCATTTTCTTCGTAGAAGTGTTCCACTACAAGATCTTCAGCTGTGCATGAAGGAACTAGGCCATACGATCAAGTCAATGGTACTTGTCAGTGTACTGCCGTAAGTCTTTTCTGGCCCGTCAAACATTTAGCATTGTGCCTACGGCTTGCTAGTGTTTGTTCGATCCGTTACAGGCCCGTTTCATGCAGCACAGACATGAAGAAGCCATCTATTCAGGAAATAAAATGCAACGTCGTCCCATTTTGGTGAGGGTGTGTCAAGTGATTTAGTTTACAACACAGTTTTCATTTGTTTGCCATAATATTCCGTGTTTTTGATGCCGACATCGCCATAGTGATAAGTAATTTCTCCTTATTTCATCCTCACTCCGGACGTGAATATTCCTACAGCAACGGTAGTCTTGATACTTCGCCAACGACCAAAGCCATTAACGTCTAGTTAGCAAGGAAAAATAATAACTTTATATTCCTTGTATATATATCCTCTTACCTTTTATTCACTGATAGATATATTGGTTAGCACCATTTGTTTCAAGTCTTTGCATTGATTAAGTTGACCTTGTTAGGTTAGAGTAACAGGCTGTGATGAGCCATTACTTCGAATGTAATTAAAACCTAATGTGTGATTCAAAAGACAATGAAGACAATTTTACAGATGCTGTTTGATGAAGAAGAGAAGGTATTTACGTGCAATAACATAGAATAGCATAGTTGTTACAGTTTCGCAAAGTTCTATTCAGGCGCTCATTGTCTCATAGGGAGGAAATCAGTTTGTATAACCTAATATATTTGTCCAGTACTCATGTGAAACTAGTTACTGAACATACTGTAATAAGGTTGGATTGACCAACTTTCTGCGTTAAAATATGCGGTCTAGCCAAAAATGTTTTTAATTTCGGTTTGCAAACCTGCTGGTATTCTTCCGTTGATCGCTGCCGTGGTAGACATTTCCTTACTTATTTTTTCAGGGATAATACAGAAATGTAAATATATAAAAGTTTCTTCGGTGAAATGTTGAACTGGACTAAGGCATATTAGCAATTAATAAATAGAATAATAAAGTAACATGGTATCTAAAGTATCTAATATTTCCTTGCACCAGCTTTAATATTTCTACATCTTCCTCTTCCAATTTAAAGCTAACAACTACCTATTTTTGTACTGATGACGGCTTGGTAACCTCTTTTCCAAAAGTTCTAGTACCGAGATGAAATCCAACTAACCTTCTAACACTGACGGTACTATCGTGATTCTGTACGACAATAAATTATCTAAGAAATTGGCAAACTTGTAAGCGCCACCTATCATCTGACGTCCGTACCCTTTGCTTATTGAACCACCTTATTGAGCGATCAAATGTGGTCTTACAAGTCACTAAGCAGGAATATTCCTAGCCTTAATGTAGCCTTGATTATATACCGAGATTTCAGAATACTTTATGGCGTACACTATGTGAATTTATCGTACCATCTATTGTTATAAAATACTCTGGACTTCACTTGGATCAATCCTCGACCATCTCCGTCAGTTGCAAAACAACCCCCATACAGCGTAATAATCCACAAACTGATTTTTCCTGTAAACTGGGATGCACGGTGTTACTTGGTAACATATATTATTATTGTCATTACAAGTGATGAGGCCAAAGAAGATTGGTAAAATAAGTCTACCATAATTTTTCCAACCACAAAGCAGGTAATTCATACTGAAATCCCCTGATGCTGAGACTTTATGTAAGATCAGGGAATTTCACGAGGATAGATTCTTAATATTGAAGAGTCAACTTTGGCTTCCCTACAGGCACCTTTATGAGGAACTAGTGTCCTTACAGGTCCTAAGTTTGCCAGTAGATGAACATTACAGTTCGAGGAACTAGAACGAGAGCAGTTGATTGAGATAGCTCATCCTAAAATACTATAGTTGAATCTTGGTATGATTAAGGCTTTCAGGTTTGTTATTGTGGTTGTCTATCGGCAAGGAGAGACGAAGTCTGTATCCTTGGAAAAGATTATATATTGCAGCATAATAGTGAAAATCAAGAGATTAGGTGTTAATAAACAGTAGTCAACGAGATCAGGTTAGACAAAGAAAGCGTTTAAATGACGAGAAGAAAAGATTGTGTATTGAACAGCAATTGTGTCCACATTTTGAGCCTCATATTAGATTATTAACTCTGGTTATTAACTAATAAATTATTACTGACTTTAGCGAATAATGCAATTTTTTTAAATTTGTAGTTTGTTTCGTCAAGCTACTCTATATTTTTGGGGGGAAGCGAAAGCGTTCAACTGCGGAATAAAACGATCGTATTGCTCTTATGAGTGTTCCTGGTATGTATTAGCTTGTTTTTTCCTTTTTATACTAAATGTTTTATACAAGTGCTGTGACTTTTATTTCTGTGTATATATATATATTCAGGAAGGATAGCTGAATGTGTCACTTATGTTATTCAATGCACCCATTCCGCGAGCTTCAGTCTGTAACACAAAACGGCTACTCAAACCACTTAATTCATACTTCGGTTCCTGAGTCACCTGCCAATTCTCACTTCGGGAAGTATAACTACCGACCTAATATGACAGTAACAACCGATAGCTATACTCCTGGAGGTACGTACAACACTCATGCACATGCTACGCATAATCATGTCCACCATGGGATACTGCATCACGTCCATTCAAACCCCACCAATGTTACAGCTCTCACTGTTTCACAGGAGAGCAGTCAAGTTCGCGTCTGGGATATTTGGGCTCACAATTTTCATGAGGGCATGCGCCTTGTCCGCAGACTCGTACGAGATTGTCAGTATGTTGCAGTAGACACAGAGTTTCCAGGTGTTGTTGCAAAGGTATTTGGTGAATATGCCAATAGTTTTGAACAAGCATACCACAACATTAAAGTTAATATTGACATGCTTAAACCAATACAGATTGGATTCAGTTTTTTCGATGAAAGTGGTCAGACAGTCGATTCGGTCTCAACAGTGCAGTTTAACATCAAGTGGAATGTTGACAATGAAATGCATGCGGCTGATTCTATTCAACTATTAGAAGTTTCTGGAATAGATTTCGATAAGTTAAAAAGAACAGGCGTCGAACTTAGTGACTTTGCAGAAGCGTTTCTTACCAGTGGTCTTCCACTGAATGAAAAGATTACGTGGATAGGCTTTCACAGGTAGGTCTCAACCAGATAAAATTGAATCGTCTTTAGTGCCTACGACTTTGCGTATTTGATGAAAATTTGCACAGATTGGATGAGAATGCCGGACAACTTCTTGGAATTCCAAAAGCTGTTATTGATTTTCTTCCCCAAGATAGTTGACCTAAAGTCAATGATGAGTGAACACAAGTTTCCGAAAAGTGGTTTACAAGAGTTGGCAGACCTGATGCGAGTGCCACGTATCGGTTTGCAGCATCAGGCTGGAAGTGACGCTATGCTTACAGGTGAAACCTTTTTTAGATTCCTGGAGGTATGTCGCTTTTGCTTTGTGCTAACTGAGTTTAGGAGCATAGTGGTGGAAAAATTGATCAGCGGGTTCTTAATCTTGTCTACGGATTGAATTATTGTCCGAATGGTGTGTCTAATACCTGGATGCAAATGAACGGTTCAAGTCCTCAACCTGATTCCGAATCTTCTGCAGGTCATAATGTCTCATATGCTTCGTCGATCTTTCGTAACAATGTTCACAGTGCCGATCATTCTGGTCGTACGTCTCCCGCTGATTCGACAGGTGGTCACAAAAGTAGCTAAGATCCTATCGTTAACATAGCTCTACCTGGTCATAGCTTTGTTCGAGCATTTCCTAAAAGCGTACTCATGGGCAGCTAAATCTGGCTTATAATCACAAATCTTTGTTTTAGGTTTCTTCAACCTGTTAACTTGACACAGCCTGGTTATCACTCTTCGTACATTGTTCGCTGTTTTGTCAGTCTTTATGTCCACTAACGTTCTGAGTATCTGTGATAGACTTTCAATGCAAACCTCGCTTTTACTGACCCGTTTAGTAACCGAGTGCTTGCGCGGCAGCAGCTGTTTTTTAATTGTTTTGTGAAGTATTTGTACAGAAATCACTAAAGATGTACAGAGGAAGTCTTAAAATGTATCGATACTTTAAAACTAAAGTACTCAGTCACTACTATAGCTGTACTCTTTTTGGTTTAATTTGTATGTATCTTTGTGTAATGCTCGAATAACTCTCATGACATCCGGTGCTGTGCACTTAGTTTCCTTTAAAGTTGCACGCCCAACCTTAATCTAATCGGGAATAAGTCTAAATATCACATACTTTCGTGTAATTATTACTTTCTGATATTATATTTTCCAGTATAGATATGTGTGCTCTGTTCAAAACAATTTTTTCATGTATGTATATAAATGTTTATTTCTAAAAATATTTTTATATAAACGAAGACAGAACTTTAGAAAAAACAAGGTTCAGCATGATATAATCATGGGACAATGTCTAACTCAGTTACTCTTCTCCTTGATATTCGAGTGTCTCTGATGTCGGAGTCTGTTGATAAAATCAAGTCAGATGCATAGCGTGGTAGTTTCCAGGAATTTCGAAGTCCAGACTCCTGATTCTTACTACGTAGTTCGTTGTATATTATTTTACAGAAAAACATATGAAAAATAGCGATCAACAGAACTAAAGTGATCCAAAAAAGCCATGGTAAACCACCGAATGCATGGCCGTATCTGTGTAATGTTATTATATCATGTCTGGGTGCTGGACCGGTAGATACTTCAACAAAATGTAAAGTTTGGATGTACTTTGTGAGGCCACTGGGATCAGTTCCAAGATACATTAAGGCTGTAGGTGGTATACTTATGATGAATGGCACGACAAGCCTAGTAGTTCTAAAAAATCAGGAAAAGTAATCCGTGAGTAAATCAAAATCATTAAAAAAAATACCAATGAATTCTCAACTCGTGATGTAACCTGGACCCGAATAATATGTTTTGAAGTTCCTGAGGAAAACAGCTTCCGGAAGTCTAATCTATCGACTATGGCATAATTGACGTACTCTAAAAACAAAATACCTAAACGCATAGCGAATTGAGTAGTAAGTCGTGCGTGCCGTAGGACGTCAGCTGGCATAGGCATTCATCACTTGAAAGTGATGCAGGCAAAAGTCGTTTAGTAATAACTTTCGGTGAATACATCTGAGGAAGGAATACATAGTGCACGATATATATATATATATATATATATAGTATTTCAACAGGAGAGCTAAGCCGATAAGTCTTGAGTTTGTCAGTCAGCTGAGACTAGAATCTGGTACAAACATGCATGTTGCGTCAAGATTGGGTTGCATCGGAACCTGAACTAGTGATAGGGAGTGAAGTAGTCGAACGTGTAGACCGCTTCACTTACTTTAGGAGTCTCATCAATGCTGATGGCCTGGTGACTGACGAAATCTCGGCACGCACACACAAGGCTCGATTACATTTTGTCATCTACGGAGCAGGATAGATATCCCTTTGTTGATTGAAGGATGAGTGTACTGTGCAGCACTTCTCTCTGTCGTGATATATGGATGCGAAACGCAGTCGGTAAGAGTTGAGGATATTCGTAGTCAGCCAGATGCAACGTAGAACTTTGTACATGAGTACATCAGTTCATGTTGCCATACCACATCAGCACAGAGAAGTAATCGTCAATTCAAATCCAATTGTATTAGAGGTAGTAAGGGAATTAGAAGTAATCGGAGAGGTTAGGATTAGAAGATACTATTCAAGAGGTATGATTCAGTGAGAAAAGTTAAGATAGTCGAAACTAGAGGGGTTGAAGAATCCAGAAAATTAGGATTTGAGAGAACACAAAGAATAAATGCACCGGCGCCATTGCGAACGATTTTGAGCCATGTCATTCAAGGTCTCTAACCATCGGTTATTATCATCTCGCGGACCCCAACCCGATAGTCGACCATTACCGACATGGCTCAGTCCACTTGTCAATGACTTCATGGATTTCTGCCATGTTTTGGTTTGGCCGCCCCTAGCTTTCTTCCAACCTATTCCTACACTACAAAACAAGGCTCGACGAGGCAGTCGGTGGTTGGGCATACGCAACACATGTCCCAACCACCTCAACTGATGAAGTTTCATTACTTCATCGATTGATCTGCCATTCTTACCTAGCACCAGATTCCTAATAACAGCTTTGCTCACTCGAGTGTCCCACGATATACGAGCAATGCTTCGAAGACACCTATGATCGAAAACCAGTAACCTACGAATATCTTCTACTCTCACTAGCCATGTTTCACAGCCATATAAGAGAACGGAACGGACTGCTGCACAGTACACTCGTCCTTTGATTAGAGAACGGATATCACGCCTACGCCATAAGTGACGCAGGTTGGCAAAAGCCAATCGAGCCTTCTGTATCGGTGATGAGATTTCGTCAGTCAACAGGCCATCGGCGCTGATGAGACTACCGAGATAAGTGGAGCGGTCAACACGCTCGACTACTTCACTCCCTATCACTAGTTCAGGTGCCGATGCAACCCAGTCTTGAAGCAACATTTTGCATTTCGAGGGGGAAAACCGCATCCCGAACATGCTTGCATTGTTGCTTAGGGTAGTCAGAAGACTGCATTTTGTCAGCGTCTTCACCAAGTAGGACAATGTCATCGGCATATTCTAAGTCAATAAGCGAGCCACCTGGTAGAAGGTCTACTCCTGAAAATTCAGACGAGGACAATGTTATGTCTAGGAGCATGTCTATGATAAAATTAAACAAGAATGGAGAAAGTGAACATCCCTGACGGACACCACTTGATGTAGAGAATTCCGGTGACAGTTCGCCATAAGCCCTCACTCGACCAGTGGTGTTCGAGTAAAGAGCTTGTATAAGGTTAATGTACTTCTTCGGTACACCTTTCAATGACAGACACTGCCACAGAACCTTACGATCAACAGAGTCAAATGCCTCCTTAAGGTCTAGGAAAACAACTATTGTAGGACGCCTAAATGTGTGTCTATGTTCCAGGACCTGTCTGAGTGTGAAGACGTGGTCTATACAGCCACGTCCGGGTCGAAAACCAGCCTGGTTTTCTCGAGTCTGCTCTTCACGAGCTTTCGTTAAGCGTCGAAGTATTATTGAGGCCAGTATTTTAGATACTATATCAGTTAGACTTATTCCCCTGTGATTGTCACAAGAAGACTTTTGTCCTTTCTTATAGATTGGGACAATCAAGGATTGAGACCAGTCGGATGGGATTGCGTCCAGTTCCCAGATTCTACCTAAGATCTCAGTCAACCTAGCTGCTAAAACTGGACCACTATCCTTAAATATCTCAGGGGTCAGTCTATCAGGACCTGCAGCTCGTCCTCGTTTCAGATTTCCTAACGCTTTCTCAACTTCATTAAGACTAGGGGGACTTAGGTCGATTTACCATTCAGGATGACTGGAGATCGTGGGTAACCGAAGAGTGGCTCGTGGCCAGTTGAACTGATCCCTAAAGTGTTCTGCCCATCGGTCTAGTCTCCTGCATTGAGAATGGATAATAAGACCATCCTTTTCTGAAATAGTTTCACTCACAGTTGGGTTCCTAATACCAGTTTCCTTGATGAGTCTAAATAGTTGCCTACTGTTGCCTATATATATATATTCTACCCCTTATTATCATTAGGTAAAACCATAAGAGGCTTTCTTACGGCGTCTTTCCTACGCCCAGAAAGCTTCAAACTAATACGCGATCGCACTAAGGCATGATCTGAATCTAAACATGTGCCCCAGAACGAGCGACAGTCTTCTATCGAACCCCTCCATCGGTGGCTGATGGCGATGTGATCTAGTTGAGTCCAACGTTGAGACGACTTCGGGGGTCGCCAGGTCAACAGATGCTTTTCCTTATGCCTAAAGTTGGTGTTCGCTAAGAATAGGCGGTTATCTGAGCATAGTTGCAACAGACGGTCGCCATTGTCTGTTCTCTCAGTCGCTACACCATAACATCCACCTAGATGTCTTTCCTTTTCACCTAGTCTACCTACTTGAGCATTAAAGTCACCAGCCATTATTACGATATCAGTGCGCCTAGCTTTTTGGAGGAGGTCCGAAAGCTTTCTGTAAAACTCATCTTTAACCTCGTCTGCACTGCAGTCAGTGGGGGCATAGGCAGATATGACGAAGAGGCAACGGCGAGTGTCCCTATCCTTACGAGTCCTTACTGTCCCGTTCAGTCGGACAGCGCACAAACGACTATCTACTGGGATCCAGTCTAGGAGAGATAATTCTGCCCTAGGATTCAACGCTATGCCTACGCCAGCAAGACCCCTGGAAGCAGAATCAGGGCTACTGGATACACGAAGAGTAAATCGAGCTGCTTCTTCGTTTTGACAAGGTGGAATCAGGTTAATGACCTTACTAGGATTCTTTATGCGCGTTTCCGAGACGCAGCATACATCGATGGCACGAGTTTCTAAAGTCCTAGCTAATGATGCCTGTTGCCCTATTTGACACAATGTCCGTACATTTGATGCTCCAATATGTAGTCTAGAACGGGGTTTCAGGAGACCAGGAACGACGTTTCGTGATCTCGCTTCGTCTGCATTAGCGGTGCAGTGAGAAAAGGGAGTATGAGTATGGTTAGTCGTAGCGATAAGAGAGACATTAGGGGGTGTAGGAAGGATTTGATTTTGACCAATTTGGTCTCGCGTGCTGTTACGGGTATGAGGGCGGTTGTCACTTCCCGGCTGCCCACACCGTGGAAGGATATTCGTAGGTTATCAGTAATCGATTATAGATGTCTTTGAAGGATTGCTCGTATTTCCTGAAACAACCAAGTAGGCAATGCCTTTGTTAGGAATCGAGTACTAGGTAGGGATGGCAGATCAATTGTTGCGTGTGCGATAGAAGAGCAAGATCATCTGCAAAGTCTAGCTGCGTCCTAGCTGTCCATTGGATACCGTGATTCCCTCCAGATGTTGACGTCTATCATTATCCAGTCGATCACCAGGAGAAAGAGAAAGGATAAGAGTAGGCAACCTTGCCTCACACTGGTTTTCACCTCGAACGAGTTTGTCAGCTGACCTCCGTGCACGATTTTGCAGTTTAATCCATCATCAACCTATGAGGTTGACTTTCTTGTCAGGCACGCCGTAGTGTCGAAGTCAATGGTGTTGATGTGGAGTGGTGAGTTCCATTCAATTGATTGTTCCACAATCATCCGTAATGTTGCAATTTAGTCGGTACACGATCGATCCTTACGAAATCCAACCTGTTGATCTCGAAGTTGGGCATCTACGAAGTCCCTCATTCTGTTTAACAATGCCTTGTTGAAGGCTTTGCCTGTTATTGAGAGAAGAGTGATGCCTCTGTAGTTCTCACACTTGCTGAGATCGCCTTTCTTTGGTATTTTGATGAGGTATCCTTCTTTCCAGTCTGCTGGTACTTGTCCTTCATTCCAAAACTTGTTGGAAGGAATGTGGACTATTTTTGCCGTTGCTGCCATGTTTGCTTTCGTTGACTCAGCTGATATGATGTCTGGTCCCGCCGACTTGGCCATACTCCTCTTCACTTGCCTATTTGCTTCTGTGTATTCAACTTGTGCCTTGACTTTTTCTGCTCTTGTTCGGCTAACGTTGATTGCTGCCTTCTTGTTCCTCCTTTCGTCAATTTTTTTAAAAGTACCGACAGAGATCCATTCCCTGTGATGGTACATCCTGTGACATTTTGAAATGATTGCCTAATTCATCCCTTTCCAATTGTCCTCCATGGTAGTTTCCTTTCCATTGAGTAGATCGTGAAAAGCCTGGAACCTATTGCTGAGGGCTATCCTGAATTCGTTGAATTTGTTAGTATCCCCAAGAAATGCCTTATTAAACTTCTGTGATGTTGTCCGCCTAGTTGT